AGGCTGAGAGTGAGCAATGGGTTCTTGCTGGAGTCAGCCTCGCTCAATGTCTCACGAAGTTAACCAAGGAACATCTGAAGCTTGGGCGGTGTTTGTTCCAGTTAACGTTTAAGGCTCACTGGCTGATCCACTGTCTCCACTACTCCGAGTACATGAACCCGAAGTTTTTGTGGACGTACAGCGGAGAAGACTATATGAGCCGCTGCAAGACCCTGCTGAAGTCCTGCCTGAATGGCAGGAAGCAGCTGCCGGCACTGCAAAGATTCGGTCGGCAATATGCTAGGGCCATATGTGTCGAAGTAGACAAGGAGTTTCACCGACCCCTCTTTGTGTGACATGCAGTCACGTCCGAAAAAAACCGGCCCGTATAGTAGAAGTGCACGGAGGAACCGCCTGCTGTATGATCTTCTAGTAATTGTGTCGTTTTTTGCTTTTGGGCTCAAGACCGGTTTTAGAGTGCCTCGGTGTTTTGTTAGTTTCGAGCAATGGAAGTCGTCGGCCGAACCCGCCTGAAGGTGCTGGACTCCGTGACGGCTCCAAAGCTGCAAGGGGCCATCGAGGAAGGGCTTAAGCACATGGGCCATCGTAGCCTCGAACGAATGGTTTGCGGCTTGGAGAATATGTCTTGGAAGACAGCGATCACAGGCCATGTGGCACAAATCTGTGCCATGGAGGGCTTGCTGATCTGTCTGCTAGGGATTTGCTCCAACGGCCTCTTGCCTCACAAGATGCTGGAAACTGCTCTGCTCAGCTGCCACAAGGCCACACCGTTTGAGATGAGTCGACCAGCGAATGCCACAGGACCCAATTGGCAGGATGCCTGCATCAAGTACTTGATGTTGAGGCTCCGAATGATCACAGGCAAGATCCGTGAAATTGCTGTCGACGAAAAAGAGCGAGCGAAGGCGCTGAAGAAGACTTCGCTGCAGCAACAAGCCTGCATCTTGAAGCTATGCCGCATCCTTAATCCTGGGCTGGCTGCTTTGCCTGCAGACAGTGGCACAGGGCCCTTGCCACTGCAGCTTGTGCCCGAGGCGAATGACTCGTCTGAGGATGAAAGGCAGATAGAGAGAAACTTCAAGCTTCTGCTCGGGCCTTCGGATGGTCAGAGATCGCTTGCAGGGACGTCTGCTGCTGCAACTTTGCAGCTTGCCCAGGGCTCTACAGAGCCTGCCCAGGGCTCTACAGAGCCTTCAAGCTTCCTAGAGCGAGCCAACAAGCGAGCTCTTGCAGCAGCTCTAGCCTGCAGCCCGGCCAAACCAATGTCTAAAAAGGCAAGGATGGAGACCATCGCGGAAGCTAGGAACTCGTCTCCAGGTGTCTTGAAGAAGCCTGCTGCCGCCAAAGGTGCCTGCAAGAGACCGGCTGCGGCAGAGCCTGTAGTCCGGGCCGCAGCGGAAGAGCCTACGAGGGGAGAGCCAGCCAAGGAAGTCTTGCAGGAAGACGGTATCCTGCTGACTCGGTACGGATGCACCAAAGATCGTGGCTTGCTTTTCGGCTGCAGTCAGTGCAAGAAGTGGGCAGCTGACGGTAAGCATCGATACATCGTGCTATCCTCCGGCCACATTGCTCAAAAGAAGCAGTGATCGACATCGCTAGCCTTAGGCCTCAGACCAGAGTTTTGCAGACGGGCTTGTGGAAAAATACTGCACACGATCATGTCATTGAGATATATTCTGGAGTTAATTTATATATATTTTTTGGAGTTAATTTTTTAACTATAGTTAAAGTTAATTTTTTAACTATTTTAGGAATTAGTATAAATATTAACTATTAGTTAATATTTGTATATATAGTCTGTAAATAGACTAATCGGAGCCTCTGGGTTAGCAGGGGAAGTAGGAGAGAGTTTTCCAGAAACGCACAAGCAGGACCGGTTTTAGCCAGAAACAGACAGTTCCCAGTGGCTGCACCAAGTAGGGCCCGGAATGGCAGGGCCGTTAAGGGATAGCGAAATTCAGCACTTAGGATGCCGCTGGAGCTTCGACTAGTTCTGTGGCTGCCTCAGAGGGAGCGCAGGCGTGCGGTTACAGCGCCGCCGGCACGAGCTACGGCCGCGGAGGAGGACTGTGCTCCGCCCCTCCTTTTGGCAGAGCAGCAGAGCGTGCCAGCAGACGCCGTTCAGGGCACCGCGCCTGCAGAGCCTGCTCAGCGAGCAGGATGCAGACCACCACTTTTCGTGGAAGTCTTCTGCGGCCTCGGTCGCCTTAGTAAAGCGGCCGTCGAGAAGGGTTTCTCGAACATCGCGGTGGACCATAAGACCAAGGCCAGAGGCCTCAAGGTCTTGCAGCTCGATCTCTGCACACAGCTAGGCCGCACTTGTTGAAGGCAGTGCTTTCACACGAGTCCATTGGGCCCCGCCGTGGCACTACAAGGCTTAAGCTTCTCTCGTGATTATGGCCTCTTCAACATGCTCTCCTGGAGGTCGCTGTTTACGGGGTGGAGCAGGCCGAATCAGCAACATGATGCGACGGAATTTCTTCTTCATCTGCTGCGTCAGGGGTCTGATGCTCCTTGGGTGAGCCGCTGGCTGGCTGGTACACAACTAGGCGACCGCTTCGAGGTTGAGGATTCGGGCTCTAATGTCATCTAGATGCCTATTGCAGGTGCTGGCGATGCTACAAGATACACTCTCCAAGAGTATGTCCAAGCCTGGCATATGAAGCCTTCGCAACTCTGGGAAGGAAAAACAAGCTTTATTGCCTCAGTGAGTTTGAGACTCATGTGTGCATTGTGTTGCAACGCTTCCACGTTGGTGCAACCACGATCAGCAAGAGCCACACTCCGGTGCAGGTGGATTCTACATGTGAGTTGCCGGTGTACCGAGCTGGTGCTATTATGTGGCAGCCTTTTCATGTATGTGCAGTGACTTATCACATTGGCGAGTTGCCGACCAGTGGTCACTACCGAAGCATTCTTTACTTGAATGATGGGCTGCAGCTTGCAACTGAAGACAAAGTGAAAGCTAGGAAACTGAGTGCGAAGGATCGTAGCTTAGGCAGTGCTGGTGCTTACATTGTGTATTTGTCCTCAAATCCTTGATTGTTGCTTTTGCATTGCATCGTACTCGTGTGTTTCACTGACGGCTCGCTGACACTCGTGTCGGGGCGCCATGCTGGCACTCGTGCCGATGGCTCAATGTGTGCGTAGGTGTACACAGTCACTTGTTACATGTAACACACGCGTAACATGTAGTGACCGGGTCCAAATGGACTTGTTCTTGTGCCACTTGCGCGCAAGGTGGAGACCGCAACTCTCGCCCGCGTTTTCAAAGTCAAAAAGTCACTTTTAGCAGAGCTAGAGAAATCCCGAGGCCGGGAGCGCCGGGCCCATTGCGCAGCGAGTCGCGCCCAGCGGGCCTTAAAGGCCTTCGAGGGGTCGACGCGGCCAGAGTTCGCAGCGCGAACAGTTTGGTAGCTTTCATGGCCCAGTGTTGCCACAGACTGTCTCAGCGAGACGTCTGCTGGTCCATTGAGAACCCAGCCAGAAGTCTGCTGTGGCAAATGCCGTGTCTCCGAGAGACGTTACGGTCAGCCCACAGAGTGGAGTTTGACGCCTGCATGTTTGGGAGCATGCGCCGAAAGCGCACGGCTATTCTGTCGAACCTGGATTGGTTCTCAGGCCTGAGCAGGGACTGCGATGGAGACCACAGGCACTTGCCGTGGGGCAGAGCCTCCGTGGACGGGTCCACAGTGTGTTTTTTTTGGCGGCAGAGAAATGCGCCACGCAGCTTCAGGCAGCTCCTCTCAGCCGTAAGCGTCTGCGACGCCTGCGTTACGAGCCAGACTTCAGTGACAAGATCACTCTGGAAGGTGCCGCAGCGCGGTGCTTTCGAGGCTGGAAGACGCCACAGAAGTTGCCACAGTCGTGGTCCTGCTTTCCCAAGGGATCCAGGCTTATCCAGTGGATCGAAGCCACACAGAAGCCCATCATTGCAATCCCCCTGCAACCGCTGCATTGGGTGCGCAGAGCGCACCTTATTGATCACCCGGCATCGAGGCAGTGCCCCTGTCCCTCAAGGAGGTGGAGTTGAGGGCGAGTCCCCAGCTCCGCACAAACATACTTGTTTGCAGCTGCTGTGTTTGTGATGTCATCGTTCCCGGGCTCCTCGATGAGGCTTGAGTCCAGGCTTTATCGCACCGTACAAGCTGAGAGGGCGGTGCGAGGGGAACATGAACAATACTGAGGTCCAGATGCTCATGAACCATGAAAATGCTCATGCAGGTGATCTGCATGACATGGAACCGATGTTGTGGAAGCCTGTGCCCTGCGAAAATGTACACGGGACTCCGGGGATTTCCCGGTGTAGGCGGATTTGGCTGCTTGGAAGAGGCGCCTACATCACATACAGCGAAGCTATGGGAAGCTCATAGGGTGCTCTGATCACACGAAGATGTCCGTGATCTGCGCAAAAATACCGGCATGAATCATGTAAGGGAGATTGGAACTTCTCTGCAGGATTTCGGCACTGAGTATGCATGTGGTCTGCTATGTGCACCGAAAGCTTTGGATTATAGGATTTGCCGTTGCTGCTGCATGAATGTTTTTCGCAGACTGCATTGGTGCAGCCATTCATCCGCATGTTAGCTGCATCCAGACATATATACTTGCTTGGATGCTGTTGGGTTTCACATTGTGCCGTGATTTGTCGTGTTCACATTCCGGGTGCACTGGTGCTTTGCTGTTAGACCCACGGAGCGGAGCGCAGTAATGTTTATCCTGGTCTAGCGAAGCCAAAGGCGAAGCGAACTTGCAGCTTTTCGTTGTCATGTTTCCAAGACATTTTGGCTTTTTATTTTTCCATGTCTCACATGCAATGTTTTCCTCAGTGCGATTTTGAATCATGTCACGCCGGTGGTGATGCTCAAGCTGTGTTCGCTTAGCAAGAAAAATTTTTGAGACCTCCGCTAGGGGCTTGTAACGGCGTCCTAGCAGGTTCCAGGCCCTTTATCTCAAGGCTTTAGGGCGTCACGACCCCCCGCCCTGGCGCGGGGTGTCAGATGGACTTCGGCGACGCGCTCGCCGCAGGTTCGTCTCATCGTTCCGAGCAAAGCTCTGAGAGCACTCAGGAGATTTTGAGTCAGCATATCTACGAGCTCCAGCTGGAGGTCAACGAACTAAGGCTTCAGGTGCAAGCTCTCACAACCCAGGTGCAAGCACTAGAAGAGAGCCTCTCTCGCGTCTGGGTGAACCAGACGGGCCATCATCAGCGCCTGTCGTGGCTTGAGGGGATCATTCAGAGCCTGCGCTCTGCCTTCAGGTCGTTTCTCGAGCCGCCCTTGCACGAGTCTTGAGCTTCTTTTCCGGGGGATGAGTGCTGAAGCTTTTTATCCAGATGAGGGAGCCGATGAGGGGGCCGTCTCGCAGCCTGTTGAATCAGGTCAGCAGGTCCCTCTGTCTGAGGGGGCCGTCTCGCAGTCTGTTGAATCAGGTCCGCAGGTCCCTCTGTCTGCCATACCTGCCAGCCCAATATCTCCGAGTGCGGCTGTGTTCGAGGGCACACCTGATCAGGGTCCCTTAGCGGCCTTCATGAGCAGCCCCGTCGAGGGCGATGATCTTACTGAGGAGCAGCTGGGGGGCTTGATGTCTCGCGAGGACACACAACTTCCCCCTGACGACGACCCGATTGCAGACCGTCTGGAACAGCAGCTTGCAGGCTTCATGGCCTACGGCGGCAGTGCAGGTGATTGGCATGCCATGAACTCAGGTTTCATTCTTGCAAGGCATTCCCGTCAGGCGATGCCGTGGGAAAGAGTGACGAGGCCCCGCTTGGGGCCCGGCTTCATGTTCCAGGAGCCGTTGCTAGGTCGCTTCGACGGCCTTAGGAGGGCGGCGATCCCCGCCCCTGCAGCAGGGCCGTGGGCATGGGTGCCCAAAGGAACTTACGAGGCCAGGCGACTTCTCGCAGCCAGGTTCGCCAAAAGCGATGACATGCTTAGGCTTACAGCACTGAAGAAAATTCGGCTCATCGTGCTTTTCTTCCCGGATGATTCGGAGCTTGGAAGGAACCTCGTGGGTTCTGCAGGCTCCCTGGTGGAGGAATCCATGCTGACCTCGACCATCGAGGACACTTTTTCAGGCAGAGCACCAGCACCCTCCTGAAGCGTGCTTCGGATTTCTCGAGGTTTGCCAAGTGGATCGTAGCTAGCAAAGGGCGCCCTCTGGCGCCTTCCGAGGGCGAGTTGTACGCTTATATGCTTCACTTGCGACGAGAGAAAGCAGGAGCCACTGCCGGCGAGTCTTTTCTCAAGGCCTACAAGTTCTTTGTGCACTTGACAGGGGCTGCGCAAGGCTCCAGGATTTCCCCGCGTGTGCAGGGAGCAGCCAAGGCGATGTCCATGGCCAAACGGCCGCTCTGGCAAGCACCGCCCCTACCGGCGGAGGCAGTGCGGCTCTTGGAAGAACTCGTCCACGACTCCGAGGATTATGCCAGGGCTAGCATAGCAGGGTTCATTCTTTTCTGCCTTTACTCCTCGGCCCGATGGTCGGATGCGGCTCGAGGGACTGACTTGAGCATTGACGTGGCAGGTAACGGGCTTGTCCTTCTTGAGTGTTCGACAAAACATTACAAGACGAAGGCCAAGGACCGAAAGGATACCGTGCTGCCTTTGATTGCACTGGGCAGTGGCTTAACTCAGCCCTCATGGGGACGTGTCTGGATGCGCAAGAGGGCCCTGGCAGGGCTACCAGACTGTGCCGTAATCATGCCGGCCATGTCGCCGGGAGGGAACTTTCTAGGAAGGGCCATGACGGCTGCGGAGGGTTCCTTGTGGCTTCGTGAGTTTTTGCACTTGCAGGGTTTCGCGGGGGATCTTGAACAGTACAGCTCGCACAGCCTGAAAGCAACCGCCTTGTCCTGGACGGCCAAGAGCGGGACCATGACCTACGAGGAGCGCCTTACCCAGGGGCATCATTGCAGTCCAAAGCACGGCATGGCTCTCCTGTACTCGAGAGATGCGCTTGCAGAAATCATAGTGAAGGTAGCCAAGGTCGTGAGTGCTGTGAGCCGGGGAGTGTTTAGTCCCGACCTCCCGCGAGCCGAGAGGGTCGCAAGAGCTCTGCATGGCGATCCAGCAGATTTTGCACATCTTCCTGAGACGACGGCTGAGGATTTGCCGGCCGAAGAGCCGCAAGATGAGAACAACTCCGAGGCTGGGTCCGACATAACAAACCTCGGCGGCCTCGAAGTGGACCTGGGAGCACCGGCCCCGGAGGAGGTCCGTCCTCGGCTTAGCAGCACGTTCTCGGGAGAGACCTACATGCACGTCTTGAGTGGAGTGGTGCATAAGTTGGTCAACCCCGGAATTTTTAAGTGCGGCAGGAAGGTCACGGCAAACATGCGTTTGATGGGGCCCGAGGAGGCTCAGGAGAATGTCTGCCAGCAGTGCGCAGCTTGAAGAAAAGAGGATGTGCTCAGTTGATCGTTTGCTGATTTGCGACGTCGTGCCTATGCCATTTGAGATGAGGGTGCTCGGGCCGATTGAGATCAGTTAGAGTGTTTCTTGCTTCGGAGCACAAAACCGGACTGGGAAGTGTCCGCAGTCTTTTGGCTGGGAGTTGCCAAACTGGGGCGAATCTCCCGCGCGGCCTGGTGAGCACCCAAGCTTGAACTTAGCGGGAGTTTGATTGGGGGCTTTGAGATTGCAAGAACCCCCGTGGTCGGCTGCCTTTGCCGGCCTGAGTCATGAAAAATACTATTGGAACGCGACCGGCTGGGATCGCCGGTTCACGAAGGCCGCCTGTGATCGGTGGCGAAGAAGTGTGAATCCGAGACAACTCGACCCACGGTTGACTTCGCCGTGGGTGAGAACCTCGAAACCTGTATCCTCACCTGCCCAGGTCTCATGGCCGGACTTGAATCGGTGCCTGCCTTCACCGACCGAGCAAAGCAGATCGGCATCAGCGAGGACCTTCTGAAGAAGCTCCTTGCTAAGAGCTTGGACACCTTCGGCAAGCTAGCTTTCGTGTGCTCGAGCAAACCTTCCAGCGGGGATGACACTCCTCTCTTCGAAGCCCTGAAGACTCTGATCGGGAGTGAGGTTCCAGTGGAACAACATATGGTGATCAGGAGATTGTGGTACGAGAGCCACGCCCACGCCCTGGTTGACTTGGAATCGAGGGCTTCGAGAACAAGTGATACAAGCCCCCGCGAGCTTCCGTTGGCTGAACGCCTAACACGCTTGAAACGCCAAAGGGGCGAGCTTAAAGGCCTCGAGATGGATATCCACACAGAACCTGGACACGGCCTTGTGGACCGCGTCCAGGCCATGCTCGATTCTGCACAAGTGCTGCACATCGCGCCGGAGAAGTGCATTTCCCGCCATGACGAAATCCTGGGTGAGAAGACGGAACAAAAGATCTCTTTGGGAGCCGACGGGAACATCAAGGTCACGAAGCAAGCCTCGAGCCTCCGTTGCGAGACTACCGGCGAGCTCAAGCTTCGCCGGTGCTTCCTGCGCCGGGCCTTAGCGTTCGATCAAGTAGGGCTCGCCTCCTTCACTGCACTGGAGTCTTGGCACAACCGCATGTTCCAGGCTCTGCTTGATGTGCCTCCGGCAGGTTATCGCTACACTACCGTTCAGCAGCTGCTTGCAGCTGACCAGAAGCTTTGGCAGGTGGTGGCCCAGGAGAGCCGAGGTGACATCGTCGTCGGGGTCGGAGCCCCGGCTCCTCTTGACAAGCACATAGCCGCTGCTGCAACCAATCAGTTTGTCGTGTCATGCTTGACTCACCTGCCCAAGCCCTTGGAAGCTCCCGCTCCCACATGGCTGCCAAACAAGCCCGGTAAAGGACTCGGCAAGAAGGGGGATAAGGGAAACAAGGGCGGAGGCAAAGGCAAGGGCAAGCAAAACCATAGCCAATCCGGTGCGGAAGCCGCCCCGACAACCTCCTTGAAGGAGCTGCTCGAATCTCTGCCAGAGGGCTGTGTGCGAGCCACTGATGAAGGTCGCTTCATCTGCCCTTTCTACAATAAGGGCATCTGCCGATTCCAGAAGCGCAAGTCGTGCCGGTTCGGGAAGCATGTGTGCAATTTCAAAGGCTGTGGGGCTGAGAGGCCGTACATCGAGTGCAAACATTGACTATCCGCAGGCGAGGCAGCCAATGACAGTTCTCCAAATTTGTGTTCGGGGGCTTCAAGTGAGCCCGAAGTCTTTGCCAAACAACTTTTGCAGCAGAGTGAGCCCATATCAGCCTCGCAGGTGACCGCTTTGTTTGATGCGTTGCCACACGACCAGTGCGATCGGAGTGGTTCGGGTTTTTCCTTCTCTGCAGGACTCTACTCACGAGTCCAAGTGGGCCTCCGCAAGGCCTGCAAGCTGTTTCCACTTTCTGTGCAGGCGGTGAATAAGTTTGTAGCTCATTTGCTTGACGGCGCAGTTTACACGAGTTTTGCCATATTTTCCAGAGTACAGACCCGGGAGCACCGGGACAAGCAGAATTCCTTTTTGCCAAACATAGTGATTCCTTTGACTGCATTCACTGGGGGGGCCATCAAGGTCTTGGAACCCAACCGCGAGATCGACCTTGAGGTTTCGAAAGGACCGGTGCAATTTTGTGCTAGGCAGCACCCGCACTCAACTTGTCAAGCGCACGGGCGCCGAACCGTGCTTGTGCTCTTTTCCCTTAAAGCAGCTTCGCATGCTTCTGCCGATGATCAGCTTTGCTTGAAACGTTTGGGCTTCCCTCTGCCCAATCCGCGACAGCTCAGCTCCGTCGAAGTCTGCAAGTCCGAGCCTATTTCCTTGGGTGAAGCGAAGCAGCGCCTCTTGCCGTTTCCAGACGAACCTCAAACCGGCAGTGACCCGGGTGCCCTGGGAACGCCGACTCACGAAAGTCGTCCGCCGTCCATGGTAGAGTGCTTGGCCTGTCGTGGTCCCTTAGCAGCAGAGGCCCTCCTCACCGGATGGGACGCGATCCCGGTAGGTAAAGGCCCTCACGATCCCCACGGCTCGCCTATGTTGCATTTGGATCTCTCTGAGGAGGAAAACGTGCAGGCACTTCTCCGATTTGATTCGTCGGCAGCTGTTGATTGGTGGCACGGGCACCTCTTCCTCAAATCCTGTGCTCGGTTGGATCGGGGATCTTCCAAACAACCTTTGCGGAGCGCTGACTGCATTTTCGGTTGCCCTAAACTTGCCCCTCGAGCCCAGGACCTGGTGCACCGTGACAACAAGGTTTGCAGGGCCCTTGTTTCAGCCTTGCAACGAGCTCATCAAACCGGAGCCCTCGTCTCACTCATCGGGCCTGCCAGGAGCTGGGTTTGGAGCCTCCTAGCGAGCACTGTGAAATCCACCCAATCGAAAGGCTTCATCGACTGGTTCTTCACTTTAGAAGACCAGGAGCTTGACACTTGCATGTTCGGTTCGCCTTTTCTTACCTCACTCAAGGTCAAAGCCACGCCCGGAGCTTTCCCGCAGATCTCTGCTACGTGTGACAAATCACATAAGCATCAAGCCTGGCTGCCTTCGCCGGCCGGTGGCACCTTCAACGATGCTTCCCTGCCCCATGGTTTGTGCCAACGCCTGTGCGAGTGTGCCACCAAGCTCGTCACCGGATCAACTAAGCCCCGTGCAGCAGGCCGCTGCCGTCAGCTCCGGGCTGCTGTCAGGGCCGCCGCGGCCAATCAGTCTCATTTCACGCCGCCCCTAATTCCTGAGTTTCGGGTGGTAACCCCTTTGTCCCAAGTGCCTTCGAATGCTGATTTCAAGATCTTGGACAAAGTCGGCTCGACACCGGGGGAATTGGATGAGCCGGATAAGCGGTTTAGGCTTAATGGTTCTCCCCCTAAGTCCTCGGCTCCCCGAGTAGGTGCAGTGGCTGGTGTTTACCACACCATGGAAGAGCACCTTCGTCTTGCCTCAAATTTGTGCAGTCCAGCTGATACAAGCGAGAGGCTGCCAGATCAGATCAGGCGGAACATTTTCGCCATGCTGACCGAAGGACCCGTGGCGATCTCAAAGAAAAGGCTTCTCGCTCTTCAGCAGCTGAACCGAAGAGTGCAGGAGCTTGCAGATGAAGAAAGAACGCTTCGCGAGAGCATGCACCCCGATGTTGAATCCGTGACCAGGGGGAAAGCGATCTCCTTGTTCAGGGAACTGCTTGAGGAAACCGCCTTTGCAGACATGTCCGTAATCGATTTGCTTGTGAAAGGCGTGCCACTTGTGGGCCAAGAGCAAGACTCGGCCCTCTTTGCCAAACGGCCGAAGCCGCAGGAGATCAGCCCGGACCAACTGCGGGCCCAGTCAGCTCTCAGGAGGGACGTTCTACAGCGCACGCGAAAACTCGTCTCTCAGGAGGACTACGCCGCCATGCGGGCGGAGACGGACGAAGAGGTCAAAGCTGGTTTCCTGAGTGGACCGTACTCTTCCGAGTCCGAGGTCAGTAAAGTGCTGGGGGCCACAAACTGGTCTCTTTCGCCCCGCTTCCTCCTGAGGCAGGGAGAGGACGCAAAGATTAGGATAATAGATGACTTCAAAATGTCAGCTGTTAACCGTGCCTTCGGATCTTCATCGTTCCTCGAGTTGCAGGACACGGACTTCGCAGTGGGTTTGCTTAGATTCCTTTCGAGGGTTCTTCAGGATCGCTCCCGAGTAAGGGTGCCTCTGCTTGATGGCTCGGTCTTGGAAGGCAACTGGGCGCCTGAGATGCTGTCGGCCCCTCCCCTGTTGGGCAAGACGCTGGATTTGAGCAAGGCCTATCGTCAACTGGCAATCCACCCTGACTGCAAGGAGTTCTCAGTGCTGGGTTTCCCTACGCCCGCTGGTGGCTGGGAGTACTACATCACGAGGAGCCTCCCGTTTGGGGCCGGCGCGAGCGTCTTCGGGTTTAATAAGGTTGCCCTAGGGGTTCTGCACATCATGACAGTGAAGTTCATGGCAATCGCCACGGACTTTTACGATGATTACACCATCTACGAGTTTAAGCCTGCTGCTTCCTTGCTGGATAAAGCCCTCATGCGGCTGCTGGACATCCTGGGCTGGACCTTCGCGCGCTCCGGGCGCAAGTTTGTGCCTTTTGCCGAAAAGGTAACTTCCTTAGGTGTAACCTTGGGGCTTGAGGAAATTTGGCAAGGAACCTTGACTGTGGAGAACAAGGCGGGCAGACTTGAGCGCATCGTTCAGCAGCTGAAGCGGATTTCGCAAGGAGACGAGATCACCCGATCAGATGTGGCTTCCCTACACGGCCTGCTCAACTTTGCCGGGGGTTTGATCTTAGGGTTCGAGCTTAAGGCCACCTCGCGTATGCTGTCGCGAGCCCTGACAGGCCCATTCCGAGGCAACACAACAGAGTTGCAGCATGCTTGTGCGTTGGCCTTGGACGTGTTGTCGCAATGTCGCCCCAAGCGGTGCCCTGCATCGGTGAAGCCACCCATCATCCTGTACACCGATGGGGCATACGAGAAAGGCGTTGGGACTTGGGGTGCCGTCATTGTAGATGGGGTCACCGGAGCTCGGTGGACCTTTGGCGGGACCGTCTGCCAGCAGCTCAAAGACCTCTGGGAGCGGCAGGCCGGAAATCAGATCATTTGCCAAGTTGAGGGTTACGCTCTTGCAATTTTGATCTTCGGTCTTAGGGGTTTCTTGAAAGGCAGGTCGGTCATAGCCTTCATCGACAACGAAGCATGCAGATTTGGCTTCATCAAGCGGTACTCGCCATCCTTGAGCCTTCTTCGCTTAATCTCGTTGGTGGCGCTGTTGGAGGGGTCTCTCGAGGCCCTACTTTGGTTCGAGCGAGTGCCCTCAAAGAGTAACCCTGCCGATCTCCCGTCACGGGGAGCTTTCGAAGAGGCTTGCAAACGCTTCGCAGTTGAGAACAAAGGTGACATCGCATTGACCCCTACGATGCTTGATTTCCTTTGTGCTGCTGACTACAGTGCTCATACGGCTCAGGCAATCTTGACCTCCACGCGACTGGAGGCTGACTGGACATGCTCAGCTTTGCAATGAACCAGGGCCAGTGCAGCTCAGCTCGCGGGACGGGGGAGATGGTTGCTCGTGGATGGCTGCACTTGCCATCGGGGCTGATCTCGCCCTATTGTGCCATCGGACCCGGTGTTTTACCCCCGCTGAAGTCTTAGGAAGAAAAAGAGTGGTCCGAGTGATTGCAAGCTTGATTCACATGTCCGAAGATTTCTCAGATTATGATTGCGAATAAATTTTTCTTGATCGCGATATCTTTGATTATCCCAAATACCTATTTTGGGAAATACAACCTGCAAGGAGACCAGAGAAACGACCCACGGAGCGGAGCGCAGTAATGTTTATCCTGGTCTAGCGAAGCCAAAGGCGAAGCGAACTTGCAGCTTTTCGTTGTCATGTTTCCAAGACATTTTGGCTTTTTATTTTTCATGTCTCACATGCAATGTTTTCCTCAGTGCGATTTTGAATCATGTCACGCCGGTGGTGATGCTCAAGCTGTGTTCGCTTAGCAAGAAAAATTTTTGACCTCCCACCCACCCGGCATTGGTTCAATACGGTCTTTGTTAAACTGGGGGAGATGGTTGCTCGTGGATGGCTGCACTTGCCATCGGGGCTGATCTCGCCCTATTGTGCCATCGGACCCGGTGTTTTACCCCCGCTGAAGTCTTAGGAAGAAAAAGAGTGGTCCGAGTGATTGCAAGCTTGATTCACATGTCCGAAGATTTCTCAGATTATGATTGCGAATAAATTTTTCTTGATCGCGATATCTTTGATTATCCCAAATACCTATTTTGGGAAATACAACCTGCAAGGAGACCAGAGAAACACAGTAACTATCAGCACCCAGAATGAATCCTGCATGGCAGCGGGATCCTCAGCGTCCGCCACGCGCAATGCATGGCATGATGCAGCATACACCTTTTTATGACCCACTCGGAAATCGTCGTGTTCCGCCACCTCCAGCCAGTTTGATTCAGGACGGTGGGTGTGAAAATCCAGGCAACCCGAACTATTTCGCGCAGCAGGGATGTGGTGGTTACGGCATGCCCCAGTCTGGTCCTGCCTGCAATTCGTTTCTTCAGCCTCCTCCTCCTCCTTCTGGGCATCTTCGACAGGAAGCTGAACTTCCTCCGGGTATGTGGGCCCCAAGTGGTTTGAGCCATCATGTTTCACATCGTGAAAGGATTGATAGGTCGCGTAGTCGTGAACCTGCTCCCCGCACCGATGAAGTGGCTAGATTGTTGGCTCAGCTTCCTCCAGGAGACTTCAAGAAAGTGTTCTACAGTCTTCCACCGGGGTTGCGTGATGTGGCTTACCATGCCCCCGAAGATGTCATTACGGACATACATTCTATCCAGGACAAGGACCAAAGGATGGCGATGTGTTCACGCATCAATACTCTCCGTCGCGAGCGTCTGCGTCACTTGCAACTCCGCAGTCGGCTGCCTTCTATGACGAGGATAGTACCAAGATTGTTCCTATGAGCAGGGTGACGGAAAGACATTTTTGGGATGTGTTTCATCGCTTGCCGTTGTCTACTACAGATAGCACGAAGTGGAAAGCTGTCCTCAAGTTTTTAGATGGTTGTCCTGAAAAACCTCGTCCAAATCAAGGCAGCTCCAGTTCTCGGGACATTGAGTGGGCTAGCGGTGATCTGTCCGTTGGAAGCCCTTCGCATGAGCAAAAACCGGCAGCAGCACATGTTGCCACCAACAGTCGAGATGCCTTGCGTCGTTTAGCGGAAGCTTCGCCAGAGCAGATCGTTGAAAAGTCGGGTGATGTTCAGGAGGACTATGTGGATTGGGTGAAAAGGAAGGTGGACGTCGACACTTCGAACATCAACTTCTCGAACTTTGATTTGGAAACCAGGGTCCATAAATTCTCGCGCAAGTGCCCTGCATCGAAAGCTTTGAGCACCTTGACGCCTTTACAAGCTATGAGTGACCTGTACAACGACATCTACCGCATCTACCTTCGTAAACTTGAGCGCCAAATCTCGAGCCTCACCTCCAGATCAAAAGAGGCTACTGCTTTGAAGAAGTTGTGTGATGCTCTAAACATTGAGCGGGACGATTCCTTACCTCAGCTACTTGCCCGATTGCGTGCGATTGACATCATGAAGAAGCCTCTGTGAGTGGAACGCGGTACTGTGGAGTTAGGCATCTCGAGGGCTTCAAAAGCTGCTCTGGAATTGGTTCTGTTGCTAAAGTTTCGTGTTTTTCAAACCGGCAAAGGGAAGTGGAACGACATGTCTGACTTGCTCATGCTTGCCGGCAGTTTATGGGTAATGTTTTTGCAGTCCCGTGCCACACGACGTGGTTTGTACCTGTTGAGTCTGATCGACCGCGCCCCTTGGGAAAGCGGATGGCAGGCTCTGTGGCGCAGCCCATGCTTGTATTGGATTTTCCCGTTCCCTTTGAGAAAGGGGCGGCATGGTACACTTTTGTATGTGGGTCAAACAGAAGATTTTTCACGACGGTTTTCGGAACACATGAGTAGACTTTTGGACTCTGATGGCTATACGCAGCAGCCTTTCTACAGATACGCTCGTTTGCGCTGTGCCACTAACCATGAGTTGGTTACAGAGCTATGTTTTTGGATGATGATCCCGGTGAGGCCGGCATCTGTTCATAAGCAGTGCCGTCTCATAGAGGAAAGTCATCTTGTGAAACTGGTGGGTTCTCTTAATCCGCCCCTCGTGTATGATTTGTTCTCCTCCGGCCGAAAGAAGGCCGCCAAGGGAGCAAAAATCTTTGACCGCAAACGTTCATTGTGCAGGCTGCGGGGACCCAAAATTCTTCAGGAAACTTCTCGTTGTCGTACCTCTCGATGTTCGTTGAGGCGAGACTGGCGTGACGGTTTGGCGAAAACAGCTTCTGCGCTGGCCGGGCATAAGTTCGCCGGTGCAGATGCTGCTTCGCTTGCTGCATGGAATTTGGCGCCGGGCGCCTTCTCATTCGTTGCACGCAGAATTGACCAATTTGAAGAGGGTTTGCGAAGAAGGCGGGGTCTCAACTTGTTAAGGAAAATCTCGCACCGCCGTCGCGACCTTTGTCCATTGTTGTCTGAAATTCACATTAAAGTGCCTTGGCCAGGATCCGAGCATGTTCGTGATGAACTGTGCAACTCGGTTCGTAGGCTTATTGCTTCATGGAGGAGTGATGGGAAATGGATTCCTGTCCTCCGGCATGCCAAATGTTTTGTGTCCTGGATGCGCAGTCCTACCATAGCTGATGTTTTGTCCAACGGTGGAACGTTGCGCAAACATTTGAACGATGAGTGTGAACCCTCTTGCAATTGCAAATCTTTGCTTGCTCGATTTCCTTCGTGGCCCACTGTAACTTTTGAAGGCGAACTTCATATCGCAGCCCCTCAGGGTTGCGCGATTTGGCCTGAACTTTTGCAGTGCCTGATGCGTTGGCCTGCGAACTTGTCGCTGCCACCCCGATGGGAGGACGTAGCATCTGCGGTCAGGGACTCCTTTCGTCGACTTCGAAATCGATGTAAGGTGCCCCCTTCATGTGCATATGTAGATACTGAAATTCATGCGTGCGTATCGTTGATCTGGAATCATGTACAGTCCTCGTCTGCAGGTCCAGTGTCATGGGCAGTTTTGGATGGCGCTAAGCAATGGATTGCTGAGTGCAACTTTTTCGTGTCTGTTTTTGACCACAACTTGTCCACTTTGGCGCTCGTATGTCCTAAGCTGGCGTACCGCAACGCGTGCCATCTGCTCGATTTCGGGCCGTATGCTCATGATGCAGCAAATTTGGTTTGGAAGCCGGTGGATGACGCCGGTGTCCAACAGTTGCTTAAGAATTTGTGCACAGTTCCCGGGTTACCAGGGCATTTGTCCCCCTGCTCCCTCGCCACTGTACCTAGGAGTTCATGGCGAATTGGTTCCGTGTCGGTGCTCCCTAAATGGAAAGCCCCCGGAGTCAAATGGAGGCTTATTGTAAATAAACATTCCACACCTTGCTGTGGCCTGCATTCGTTCATCTCGCGTGCTGTGGATGTTTTGTTAGATAATTTCCCGATTCATCTGTGGACTGATTACCTTTCTATGTCACAAATCATGTCCATGGTTCAGGACTTTAATTCGCGTAGCACTGAATTCGGATTTGATCGTGGTGTCATCATTGCAGCGGATATGCAAGATTGTTTTCGGCATCTCCCGGTAGAGTTAACCGCTGAAATGTGGGATGCATTGGCGAATTATTGGGTCGATCGGGGCGTTTCTTATGTCAGTATCCCGGCGAAGCGTTTGAACACTCGCGGGGTGCTGGGATTTCGCGACGAACCGCATTGGAGGCCAGTGTCTTTGGCTACTATCCGATATGTCCTTGTCAATTTTGTACAAACAAACTTCATCTTGGTAGGAAAGTTGCTAGGGACCGAGCGGCAAGGTGCTCCCCAAGGTGATGCCCTCAGTTCGGCCCTTTTGCGCTTGTGGAAGTGGTTTCGAGAGTTTTCGTTGGGAAAGGCTCACATGCGCAATGCTGTTGTCTTTCCTAACTCGAAATGTAAGTTGGTGCATTTGTGTACTCGAAATTTCTTGTTACTTGACGTGTCCTACCGCGATGATCTTCGTATGTTCTGTGCGTGGAAGTCGTCTGGTGATCTAGGCGCTTCGGTTATTGAGAAATGGGCATGGGAACAGTTTCACAGGAGATTCTCCGTAGGTTCCATGCGTCTTGAAGATGCCGATGGTTCGTTTTTCACGGGCTTGCGCACCAAATGGTCTGGTGGCACCGTTGTTTTGCAACCCCGCATGCCTGACCCTTGGGCCGCGCATTGCTATGATGAACTTGATAATTTCCCACTCAAACCGTGGAGTGCATGGGCGCCGCGTAAGCAGTTCCTTACATGCATCACAGGGCTGCTATGCCGCGCGTGGTATTTCTGCAATTCTCGCCAGTCTCGAATCGATGCATTTTGGGAGGTGTTCGTGTCTCTTGTGCTTCGGGCAGGGTTCCCTTGGCCTGTAGTGCGGTCCCGAGCTGCTGCTTGGGCGGCGACGTGGATAC